GAAACTTCACCACTTCATCACTCACATTAAGAAGACTCTACAGGTGACTAGAGTCACAACATGACCTCATAGATATCACCATGAAACTTCACCACTTCATCACTCACATTAAGAGGAGTATATATTGTATTACAAGTTTACTGAAATGTTGAGGCGTTATGTAATGGTTCTGTTTTTTGTCTCAGGCCTCACCAACACCGACCCTCACTACGAGAGAGTCTTCCTGTTGGACCCTCAGTACCAGAACCCGGCGGCGCTGAGGAACAAGCTGCCGGAGCTGTCGCAGAGCGCCGAGGCGTCAGGTAGACCCGCCGGAGCTCTTCGTTGCTCTTTAACCTCACAGTCGCAGCACAAAGAGAGAAATGAGAACAGGTTGACGTCGTTGTGTTCGTGTTTTACTGAGCGTCTGTGGAGGTCTGGTGATAGTTATCAGAGACCTTTCTCATCTACGCAAACTCAAAGGAAATGTGAATCAGTGATGCTTTGAAAATACTTTGTTTAAGCTGCAGAAGCCATCAAACTGCTGCAGTCTGCCCCCTGCTGGCTGCCTCACAAACCTCCATCTTCTCAGCTTCTTCTTTCTTCTCTTTCTTGGTCTTCAGTATTTTCTTGATGATGCAGAATGTGCATGCTCGTTCACTCTGCAGCTCTTCTCGTCCCTCTCTGTCTCTGTCCCTGTTTCCTCCTCCTCCTCCAGCTCTCCTCCTCCTCGGTAACCCTCTCTACGACCTCCTCCTGCTGACTTCCTGTCACATGACGTCAGGCTGGCTGCGTGGTAAGAGCTGAAAGGTGTGAATTCAGGACGTTCACACATCAGATACGGTCGACCGGACTGACGGACGAGGACGTTCTGTGTTTGTGAATTGCTTTTTCATTCCTGTGCATGAACACTTTATTCTCTCTCTGACATTTACTCTTCATGACATAAACTCGCAATCACATTTGTTTTGACAGCTAAAGTCACAAAAATAAAATGACAAAGGCACACGATAAAAATATGATTTGACCATTAAGTTTGACCTGTTTCCATAAGTGATATATTTCCAATCACTGCTGGCAGATACGTTTTCTTTCTTCCGTAAATATCAGTCTGCAGTAAATTAACGGAGGAGAAGTTTAGTTCAGGACTTCCCGGAGCTTTACCATCCGTCCCACACAGAATATTTGACTTGCTTCAGTCTTGCCGTCGAAGGATGTCGCAACAATCTGGTTGAAAAGTCAAACTGAAGATGACAAAATCAGGCAGTAAAGCGTGAGGGGTGTATGGTGCTGGTTTGTTTTGCTTAGTAATGGGAGGCGCAACATGTGAGCGGCCCCTTACCTTGAGTGTGCAAATCAAGAAATGAACAATTCTTAATGCATAGCGGAAACAAGATTCCTAACTGAAGTAGCTGTTGGTGAATTGCGGCCTCTACCTGCCGGTTAAGAGTAGCGAGGAGTCGGCAGTCAGTGATGATATGAAACAAAATCAAAAAGAGTGAATCCCTGCAACCACGTCGGGTCTTCGAGCACACAGTCATAACAGAGCACGGTAAATCAGTCTGATGGGTCCAGTAGTATGAGAGATTAGCCGCAGACAGACAGACACAGAGATGCACACACACACACACTCGCACACAACAGAATACATCATCTCCTTGGGGAGAGAACTAGCTCATCAAACACCTCTTCCTTCCCTCTCCGTCAGCGTGCGGTGGAGGCTACGCCGAGCCCGACGTCACCCAGTGCACGCCGCACCAGTGTTTCCACAGCAACGCGCCGCACTACGCCGAGACGGACATCGTGCGCCTGCAGGGCGTCACCGGCAGCAACATGTACGCCGTGCCCGCCCTCACCGTCGACTCACTCACCAGGAAGGACATCTCCGCCGCAGAGTTCCCGCGGCAACAGCTGATCTTCAGGGAGAAGCTGGGGGAGGGGCAGTTTGGAGAGGTGAGGAGGAGGCGGGGCCACAGCCGATCAGGGAGCGCGGTGCTTGTATTTGATTCATCTTATTACACCGTGCTCTGGTGCTGGGATTCCCTTAATTGAAATGGATGGTTGTATTTATCCAGGTCCACCTGTGCGAGGCCGAGGGACTCCCAGAATTCCTTGGGGAGGGGTCTCCTCTCCCTGACAGGGATGGGCGGTCAGTACTCGTGGCCGTTAAACAGCTGAGGGCCGACGCCACCAGCCAAGCCAGGTACACCGTGTGACTGTTCATTTCTTTAAAAGTCCCCCCTTTGAAGTTTGTCCATTTTCTGGGGAACCCTCAACGGATCAGACCTGCAAATCTCATGTGGTGACTGAAGTGACCGAGTATGGTGTAAACAGGGACCTGTGCACACCGTCTAAATTAATTTACGTGATTTCAACGAGACGATCCAAAACTGAAAGTACCTCGAATGAAACCTAAAACAAAATGTCCGCTCTTCCTCCGTCCACCAGGAACGACTTCCTGAAGGAGATAAAGATCATGTCCCGTCTGAACGACCCCAACATCATCCGACTGCTGTGCGTGTGCGTGTCGTCCGACCCGCTGTGCATGGTGACCGAGTACATGGAGAACGGAGACCTCAACATGTTCCTGTCGCAGCGGGAGATCGAGAGCACGCTGACGCACGCCAACAACATCCCCTCAGTCAGGTTAGTACACAAAACACTGTACTTTACACATGCTAACATGCTAACGCCACATGTTCAATAAGTTTAAGATGCAAACAGCAGGGGACGACGTGATCACTCTCCAAACACAAGCTACGATCAACTCATGAATTCAAAGTTCTCACCTCCGTCTCCTCCTTCTTCCTTCCTCATCTCTTCCCTCGCAGTCTGTCCGACCTCCTCCACATGTCGGTGCAGATCTCGTCGGGGATGAAGTACCTGGCGTCCCTGAACTTCGTGCACCGCGACCTGGCCACCAGGAACTGCCTGCTGGACCGCCGCCTCACCATCAAGATCGCCGACTTCGGGATGAGCCGGAACCTGTACAGCAGCGACTACTACCGCATCCAGGGCCGGGCGGTGCTGCCCATCCGATGGATGGCCTGGGAGAGCATCCTGCTGGTGAGGGAGGGGAGTTAACATGAGATAGGACTAAGGACCTCGACCTCGACCTGCTCCTAATCATGGATTCGTAACGCTTCACATCTTAATGATGACTTGGAATAACTTTACTCTTATACATTGTGAATGTCGGTGGATCTCCTTCTTTTATGAATTCATGCAGATGTACAATTATGTAAAGATGATAGAGGCACTCATCCAGACCCAAACCAGGTCAAGTTGAAACTTTTTAGTGATGGTAGATATCAAAGTAAAGTGCTTTTCAGTAGCCGTGTTCCCATTCACTGGAAGTGGAAGCTAATGTTTTTTATAGAAAAGACCAAAAGCACCACTTATTCTTGACCTGGTTTATTTGGGATGGTGGCACAACAAAGTTCATTCCTCGTGAACTAGGCAGCGCCAGGAGCTTGGTGACGTGGGTGACTACTCGTTGGGTTACTTGGGTGAACCGCTACAGCTAGTAGGCTGTCCGGTGTAATGCTAGCCAGCCGTCAACAAGCACGAGTCAATCACAAAACCCCTCAAAGCTAATGGTACTAGCGCACAAACTGACTGAAAGCTAACCCAGTTCATTCAGGAGGCTCAGAATAGGTTCATCTTTAGGTTTGTGCAAGACATTCAAGACCTCAGGTAGTCTGATGGTAACACGCCCAATAAACACCAAACAAAAACGTGTTTATTCTAAAACATGAAGAGCTATTCCCTAAAATGAAAGCATTTGACTCCCACAGTGTTTTTCATGTTATCTCCATGTGACCTCTTGGCTCCTCTCAGGGTAAGTTCACCACGGCCAGTGACGTGTGGGCGTTCGGCGTCACCCTGTGGGAGATCTTCACTCTGTGCAAGGAGCAGCCCTACAGCCTGCTGTCCGACGAACAGGTCATAGAGAACACTGGCGAGTTCTTCAGGAACCAGGGCCGACAGGTGAGACCATCGACTCCAAGTGGAGCACTAGTCTACTACATCCAGGAGTGCCTGATTTAGATCCCCGGTGGGCTGAAAGCAGCTCCAGTTCCTGAATGCTCACGACATTTCATGATTATGTTTGTCAGTCCTGTGAACTGGGTCCAGTTGAGGACGAGCAGCCCTTCTGTTCTCTGAGCCCTGACTACGTTGGTACATCTGAGGAATGCTTTCTTCTGGTTCTTTACTGAACAACCTCTTTAACTCTCCTGTGTTTCCCGACTAGATCTTCCTCTACGGCCCTCCGCTCTGCCCGCCTTCACTCTTCGAGCTGATGATGCGTTGTTGGAGTCGCGACATACCCGACCGGCCCACTTTTGAGGGACTCTACCAGGCCCTGAGGCCCCACGTCAACCAGTGAGCCGAGGCCACTGGGAGGTACTTACTCGTGTAGGACGACAGACTGACACGAGAAGACCGAGGACTGGAATTATGCTACGAGAGTAAGACGCGTTCAGAGGGAATGAAGAAGCTGGCAGAACTGTGGTCAGAAGGTTTGTTTGGTGGTAACAGCAGCAGCTCTACCCTGAGAGACAAGATGGAGGTAGAAGAGAAGGCTGGTCAACTCGGAGGAAACCCAAACCTGTCAGTCGGTAGTGAACAAAGCTTTCTAAGCTTTTTAAAGCTTTCTATCATTTCTGATGTCACAGTTTCTTCCGTCTCTTTAAATCTCCTTTGACCAAAACGTCTTGTCGGACCTTTTCACACATCTCTCTTTATTACGTTGTTTTGATGCCAAAGGTGCCGTAAGCTTTATATTCTTCTTCTGTTAACCTGGACAGACTTTTCAGTGTTGGGAGTGTCTCCTCTCCCTGTGTTTTATTGTTTTATTTTATTGTTATGTAAAGCACTGTCTGTGTCTCTCAGTTATTCATGTTCATATATTAACCCACACTGGAGCTAGGGTTAGGGTCAGATTGTAGTTTAGCTTTATTTTTAGATTTTTATTCTGTTTTCTTGTTTTACAGTGTTTCACTTCTGTTGGTCTCTGTGTGGATATGAATGTTGTCCAGCTGAGGCTGACTTCATATTGAAACCTGTGTGGTCGGTGGGTAGTTAGTGGAGGAAGTCGGTTTGAGGCACACTGAAACCAAATAACAACAGAAATGTGTTGTGCTGATTTAGTTGCCAAAGAGAAATAAAGAGTGGAAGTGATAACACAATGACATGATTACATTAGTAAAACTCAATGTACCATTATCATCTGCCAGTGGGTGGATTGGAGTGAGTTCATTCAAAGTGCCTTAAAGTTGTAGCATGAGTGGGAATCAAGCCACCGTTAACACGGTGAGGATCTCACTTTACCCGTGTGTCTGTTTGTGCTGCGGCCTAAAAGATGTAAGGACATTTACAAGATAACTAGTGTTTCCAGCTGTCCTGTATTAGTGTATTAGCTGGGACGTCCCATATTTTGGGCTTAATTCATTTTTCCCATACCGAACCTCCCAACGTCCATATTTTGACTGCTACTCTAGTCTGACGGCGCTCTTACAGATCTTATATATATATATATATATATATCACCTGTTATCCAGTCACACGCCCCATAATGCGCATTAGTTGTATGTTCGGTGTAAATGATCAATCTTCTACCAGGTGAAGCTGATTGGTCAACATTGCAGCTGGATAAATGAAGGTGCGATCGAGGTTTCAGGCAAATCATCAATCAATAATTCAACATCGTTGTCCAATGTGTAAGTTGTTTAGCACATTTCAATTTTTTGATTTCATAATTCTATGTCCCATTCTTTACTGTTTCAGTCTCTCATCAGTGTGAGTGTGTGTTACATGTGTAGTGTGAGTGTGTATTACATGTG